GCGCAATCCTCCGACCTCGTCTGCGTGGGCCTCGTCTGGAGACCATCTGCAGTTCAGCCGTAGATGGTCTCCAGACTCGGTCCAACTGTAACGGTGGGACCGAGGTATCTGAGATCGAGGTCGGTTCGGGGAGGGTACCCTGATGTTCTTCGCGTTTGTTGGATGTTCTCGTGCACCCTGGGAAGGGTACTCTTGGACGTCCTGTGTGTTTGGGCCGACGTTCTTGAGGGACGTTCTTCTGGCCCAGGTCCGACGGTACGCGTATTTGTCAGGAGGGGAACATACACAGACACAATTAATCGCCGATCCCCAAGATATGGGAATTGGGCGGGAAGACAAACACCCAGAAACTGTGAGAAAAGATGGGGAATCTGTTTCCTTGTGTGTATTCATTTGTGTGTGTGTCCTTGTGCCTCTTGAACTCGGTCTGGAGACCCTCTGCTCTCGTTTCCCCCCTCCGGCGCGCCGCCGAGGTGAAGCTGAAGGCCTCCGTCCGCCCCGAGCACGGCAGGCCGTGCACCACGTACATCACGGAGGTGGAGGTCTCGGGCAGCCTGCTCGGCGGCAGGACCCTGCAGGTGCGATCCTACCTCAGGGCGCACGCCGAGAACGAGACCGACAAGTTCCTGGGCGTTCGGGTGCTGGACCTCCCTCCTCCTCCTCCTCCTCCTCCTCCTCCTCCTCCTCCTGCCTCCTCCCTCCTCCTCCCTCCTCCTCCTGCCTCCTCCTCCTCCCCCTCCTCCTCCTCCTCCTCCTCCTCCTCCTCCTCCTCCATTCCTTCTCCTTATAAATAACTCCTCCATGTCCCACCCCGAGGCCAGTCGAAAGGGCGGGCCGGGCGTTTCGCTTGAGACTGCTTTACACTTTATGACCCTGAAGCTTAAACATACAAGCCATGTCCACATATCATTGGCGGGCGGTGCTCAGAATGTGGCTCCCGCTTTCGCGCCCCGCACAGATGTTATGGAACAGCCGTGCAAGAGTTTTTTCACGGATTGCGGGCGGGTAGTTTTCTAAATGTGGTTTTTGCATGAGCGCCGCGCACATGTGTTTTGAAACATTTGCAAGGGGAGGAGGAGGAGGAGGAGGAGGAGGAGGAGGAGGAGGAAGGAGGAGGAAGGAGGAAGGAGGAGGAGGAGGAGGAGGAGGAGGACTGGCTTTGCGGATGGAGGGCGGACGGTTTTCAACCTGTGGCTCTCGCCCGAGCGCCGCGCACGTTCGCTTCAACAAGTTGCAAGAGCTCCACGGGTGGCGAGCGGGCGGTCTTCAAAATGCGGTTCTCGCCGGAGCGCCGCGCACATTCGTTCTACACCTTAGGCGATGCTTAAGAAAACCTAAGTTTTCGGCCAGAGTCTCGATTATTCTTAACTTTTCAATGCAAATCCCAAGATTTTGATAGAAATTCTGGGTTTTTGTTCAAGTTCGGAGACTATGAATTTCTTAACCCATGATTTCTAAAGCATTTCGCAGGGTGTACACATGTCCAATGATATCGCGGATGGAGGGCGGTTCGTTTTCAAAACGTGATTCTCGCTTCAGCGCCGCGCACGTTCGCTCTCGTTCGCTCTTCAGCTTGCAGAAGTGTCACGGGCTCCCATGGCTGACGTACCAGAAACGGTGTTTCAGAACGACTCAGGATTGACAGGGTGCATCAGCGACGCAGACTCGCGGTATTGAAGTCCCGGGAATGGTGTTCAGGCACGATTCAGGATCGTCAAGACGCAACAGTCAGGCTTATTCGTGGCGTTGCAGTCCCGAGATGGCTGTTCTGGCACGCCTCAGGACCTTCAAACGATTGTCTCCAAACGGGACGCTTGCTTCAGTGGAAATGAATCCTTGTCGGGGCCTATGAAGAGGAAGCCTGGGGGAGGATCTATTCCAACATCGTTTATGTCTTGGGTTTACAATGGTCCTCCTCCTCCTCCTCCACCACCTCCTCCTCCTCCGTGAGAGGCCCAAGCAGCGGGGCTGTGGTAGTGCAGCGCAGGCTGGCTGCCAAGATCTCCGACGCTGTGATTTCTCCAATCCAGTCGTATTCCTCGATTTCGGCTGCTGGGGACCATTCGAAAATTGGGAGCGACAAGCTTTCGGGCCTTCGGGCGCGGGGCCTCGAGGATCAGGGAACAACAAATCATGCCACAAACCTAACCTTTCGGACGACCTTTTCTGACATTATTTGTATCCCGAGGGGAAGAAAAGCAGGCAGGCCTAGGATCGGGATAGGCCGTTTCAGAGCATTCCGGAACGCACCGAAACGGCCGCGGCGCCCGATGCATGCTTTGTCTCGATCCGAGGTTATCCCGATCCTGGCTTCGTCGCAGAAGATGCGGCACACACATACACTCTCGGAGCTCCCGGCGGATGTCTTGGAGCGGCGCCTGCCACCCCCCGGCGCTGCCTGCGGCGCCGCCGCGCCCCGCGCGGCAGGGAGGGGGTCCCAGCGCCGTCCAGGAAATCCGCGCGGACCGCCGACAGTTTGATCTGTTGATGTGGTGTCGTTTGCTCCTCCAGGATCGAACGCCGGGCGCGGCCATCGAGACCCCGTGGGAGAGGTCGGGAGAGGAGAATATGCTGACACCGCTAGTCTTCCCTCATCACCACGGCTGGATTCGCCCAGAAGGTTTGTCACAGAACGCACTCTGGGGAGGTCCTGTATCGGTAGTTGTTTGTCCACCCAAGAGGCTCGCGCAGGTGGTCGACAGCAGCTTCTTCGTCACGGAACCTCAGCCTGCGAGCGGCTTCAGGGTGACGATGTCCACGACGAAGTGGTATAGTAATAAGGACGGGTCAACAAAACGATTGCCGAGACCGCTACGCTCCAGGCCCGTCCCAGGGTGCCATCTGACCAGGGCTCCGAGGCGAACTCGGCCGTGGTGACGGGCAAAACAGGCGAGAACGAAGGAAGGGTATCGGTATCGGATGTCGGCGCTCGCTTCCTCTCCGAAAGGAGGCCGGGGAGGACGTGCCGAGGGTGGCGGGGCAGGTCGAGATACGGCTGGGGGACCCCGAGGACCTGGGGCTCGAGCCCGCGAGGATCCTCGTGCGCCAGGACTGATGAGCGCGTTTTCCACCACCACCACCATAAGTTGGATGGGGCGAAGGAGGAGGAGGAGGAGGAGGAGGAGGAGGAGGAGGAGGAGGAGGAGGAGGAGGAGGAGGAGGAGGACCCCCCCCTCCAACTTATGGTGGTGGTGGTGGAAAACACGCTCATCAAGGACCTCCCCAGGCAGGAGCACCTGAACGTGGCCGTGCGGCGCCTGAGCTCCCTCGGCCGCGAGGCCGCTCCGTCGAGGGGTGGCACACACACGTACACGTTCAGAGCCCCGAATCATCAGGGGTAACTCGGGTCAGGGCTAACTCGGGTTCCTTTTTCGGGAATCCAAACCCGAGTTACCCCGGACCCGAGTTACCCCGGATAACTCGGGCGTCCAGAGCCCCGAATCATCAGGGGTAACTCGGGTCAGGGATAACTCGGGTTCCTTTTTTCGGGAATCCAAACCCGAGTTACCCCGGACCCGAGTTACCCCGGATATCTCGGGCGCCCAACACGTACACCTTAGGCGATGCTTAAGAAAACTTAAGTCTTCGGCCAGAGTCTCGATTATTCTTAACGTTGCAGTGCAAATCCTAAGATGTTGATCGATTTCTGGGTTTTTTTATTCAAGTTCCGAGACCATTAATTTCTTAACCCATGATTTCTTAATCATTTCGCGTGGTGTACACGTACACACACACACACACACACACACACACACACACACACACACACACACACGCGCGCGCGCGCGCGCGCGTCCCGAATCTTCTGATCCAGTACTCTCACTCTGCCACCCAGGCCGGCGATAGCCGCCGGATCTGGGACCCTCCACATCCTACACCTTAGGCGATGCTTAAGAAAACCTCAGTTTTCGTCCAGAGTCTCGATTATTCGTAATTTTTCAATATAAATCCCAAGATTTTGATAGAAGTTCTGGGTTTTATTCCATTTCTGAGACTATGAATTTCTTAACCCATGATTTCTTAAGCATTTCGCAGGGTGTACGTGTTTGGGCAAGAAACGCGCCACATGATCCGTGCTTTCGTCTCTGGCCGTTTCGCCGTCCACGTCGCAAATTCCGCCTCCCTTCTGCCTTCCCTCTCCCTCTCAAAAAAAAAGAAAAACAAAACAAAAAAAAATGTCTGGAGTCCAGGCCGAAGAGTCCGCTGGCCCCAGTTGTCTGTGAGTTGGTTGCAGCGCGCGCGCCCCAATGCATTGGCCCTTGGGCGAAGCGGCCTCGCACTAAAAGACGTCGGCCGCAGTGTCGATTGAGCAGCCTTGCCGCGGTAGAGAAAAACTACCTTGGCCTTGTCCGCAGTGGCCCACCAAAATCCTGGGTACGGGAAGGGGTCATAACTCCACGCGTACGCGTCCCCGCGAGTGTCTCGTCTTCCGAGGCTGGGACTTCTGTACCACTCAACCACCTGAGGAGCCGATCTCACTCGGCGGCACGGGGGGAATGCAAAGGGGGGGGGCGGGGTCGACGTTCTCGGACGTTTTCATTTGTTCCCGGAGGTTTTCCAGCCTCGGGGTGCTTTCCAGCAGTTGCGCAGGCTCAGAAGGCCTCCGGCTTTCTGAGAGGCGTCTTGGGCCTTCTCCGAAGGCACAGGGGGCCAGAGGGCTTCTGAGAAGCCCGGCCGCTTTTGAGAAGGCCAGTCCCCTCTCGCTCCCGGAGGCGCTGCGGGGCGACGCCGATTCGGATGTGCGCCAGGCGGCGGCGGCGGCGCTCGGGAAGCTCGGCGCCGCGGAGGCCGCGCCCGGGCTCCTGGAGGCGCTGCGGGGCGACGCCGTTTGGTTTGTGCGCCGGGAGGCGGCGGCGGCGCTCGGGAAGCTCGGCGCCGCGGAGGCCGCGCCCGGGCTCCTGGAGGCGCTGCGGGGCGACGCCGATTCGGATGTGCGCCGGGAGGCGGCGGTGGCGCTCGTGAAGCTCGACGCCGCGGAGGCCGCGCCCGGGCTCCTGAGGATGCTGGAGGAGGACGTTGATCCGCAGTTTCGCCGAGCGGCGGCCAAGGTGCTCGACAGGTTCGACCCCAAGGACCTCGCCTTGCAGCTTGTGCGCACGGTCAGGAACAGGGACATGAGCATCCCTTGGCGCGAGATCGCGGCTTCGGAGCTGGCCAGGCTGGTCACCAAAGATGCCGCTGTGGCGCTGGCGCTGGCCGACGAGCACGCCGACGCGTTGCAGGACGCGGCGCAGGAGGAGGAGGTTGGCAAAGTCTTCCGCGACAGCTGCGCCAAGGCTGTGGATAAGATCGACGCGGCGCACGCGCAGGCGGCCGACGACGCAGCCAGGCACGGCACAGCTGCGCTGCCCATAGACGGGGCGGCGGGGCGGCAAGTCGCGATAGGGCTTTGGCGACGCAATGTTCTGCAGTGCCAAGCGTTGCCGTGCACTCGTAAGCTATGCAACAACTTTCTTTTCTTTCTCCAAAAACCAATCGGAGTGCACGCATAACTCAGCATAGCATAGTATGGCGTTGCATCGAACAGCACTGCATCGCATCGCATTTCATAACATATCATAATTTCGCGTGTCGCAACATAGGATGGTATGTCGCTTCACGCCTTGCAACGCATTGCCGAACACTGCGAGTGGAGAAAACAACGCGCCACAGTGGGCCATCGTTGGACATTTGCATCGGCCCTCGCAATCCCATGGGGACCTGATTACCATATCATGTGTGGGGATTGAATGATGGGCTCGCTGCTGCGCCCTGCAGCTATGCTACGCTGTGCAAATTGTGTCCATTGAGGCAGCGCCCCCCCTCGCGCGATGAAAACGAGAGGAGAATGAGGAGGAGAAGGAGGTAGAGAGAGGAAGAGGAGGAGGAGGAGGAGGAGGAGGAGAAGAAAGGAAAGGATGAGGAGGAGGACGAGAAAGAGATGGGGAGGAGGAGGTGGAAATGAGGACGAGGAGGGGGAGGAGGAGGATTGGAAGGTCTTCAGTAGGAAGATCTTCGCTGAAGATCTTCGCGCTGAGGCCTCAGCGGGGAGCCTCTTGGGTTTGGTCGGGGGTCTTTGGGCCTGCCCTGAGATCCTTTGGGGTTGTCTCGGAGGCAATATTCGGCTTCTCTGGCGATTCAGCGGCTAAAAAAAAAAAAACGGAAAGATATTAATTGAAGATCTTCGCGCTGAGCCTCAAAGAGTGTGAATCCCCACTGTAGATTTCCATGCTGAGGCTGAGGCTCCCAGCGTAAAGATCTTCAGTGCAGATCTTTCTTGCTGGGGGCCTCTCTGGTCGTGCTGGGGGCCTTTGGAACTGCTGAGGAACGTTTTGGGTGGTCTCTTGGATACATTTTTGGGATGTCTTGGGTGATCTGGGAGGCCCCGGCACACCTCCAGCGTGGAGTTCTCCGCTGTAGATCGCTGTGCCGAGGCCTCCAGCGTGAAGATCTTCACTGAAGATCTTCGCGCGGGGATCCTATTGGGCTTGGTCGGGGGCCTCTGGGCCTGTCCTGGGAGCCTTTTGGGCTGTCTTGGAAGCCATATTGGGCTTCTCTGGCGACCTGGAGGCCCGAAGAGGTCCCCAGCGTGAACACTTTCACTGAAGATCTTCGCGCTGAGGCCCCAAGCGTGAAGATCTTCACTGAAGATCTTCGCGCGAGGAGCTGTACCTGTACTGTGACCCTTAGGGCTTTGTCTTGGAGGCCATACTGGGGTTCTCTGGCGATCTGGAAGCCCGAAAATATCCCGAGCGTGAAGATCTTGAACTGAAGATCCTCGCGCTCAAGGCCTCAAGCGAATATATACCCCCACTACCGATTTCCAAGCCGAGGCCCCCCAGCTTAAAGGTCTTCAATGTAGATCTTCCTGCTGTGGACCTTTCGGGCCGTGCTGGGGGCCTCTGCATGGGAGCCTTTTGGGTCGTCTTGGAGGTCATGTTGGGCCGTCTTGGGCGATCTGGGTGCCCGGGGAGACCCCCAGCGTGGAGATCTCCGTTGCAGACCTCCGCGCCGAGGTTCCAGCGTGAAGATCTTCTCTGAAGATCTTGGGTCAACAGCCACGTGCGTGAGAAGCCATGCAATGTGGCACAATGTTGTATCAACCATTGCCATGCGCGCATGTGGGAGAATATTCATAGACATGCGTGTGCTACGTGAAGAATTCGAGCGTACATGCTTTGATGGGGGTTTGGGCGTCTTGGGATGCATCTCGTTCACAGTTAGTACGCGCGCGCAATCGCCCAGTTGCAATCAGACAAGCTACCGTACTCTGTCTGAGCGGGAATGAAGGGGGGACCAAGAGAGGGAGGAGGATGAGAGAAGGGGTTGGGGAAGGAGGAAAAGCAGGAAAAAAGGTAGGATATGACATAGAGGAAGATGACGAGGAGAAGGAGGAGGAGGAGGGGAAGGAGGAATAGGGAGATGAGTGAGGGGAGGAGCATGATGAGGAGGACAAGGACGGGGGGGGCAGGGAAGAGAAGGTAGGGGGAGGGGGGGAGAAAGGGAGGAGGAAGGACGAGGGGAAGGATGAAGAGGAAGGGGAGGCGGATGACGAGAGGAAAGCGAAGGAGGGGTGGTAATGAGGAGGCGGGGGATGAGGAGAGGAGAAAAGGAAGTGAGGAGGAGGACACGGAGGAGGAGGACTCGCGGCGTGCGCCAAAATCAAAGCAGCTTATCGAAGTGGGATGGCTGGAGCTGTGCAATAGGCGGTTCGAGCCCGAACGCATCAGTCTTCATGTTCTGGGATTCGGACGTTCCCAGAGGAGGAGGAGAAGGAGGAGAAGCAGGAGGGCACGAAGGGTTCGATGAGCTCGCAGTTCTCTGGAGAATTGTTCGAAGGCCTTCAGGGAGCGCTCTCGTCGGTGCGGCTCGACGCAGTTGGTACAACTTGATTCGACCCTTTTGAAATTATATGGTTGGGATCGGTTGCGTTGCCCCATCGTCGACGACGACGGCGACGACGGCACCGGCAACGCCAGCGGCGACGGCGGTGACGGTGACGGCGGCGGCAGCCGTGGCATCGACTGCGGCTGCGATTGCCATGACAAAGAAGACGAACGCGACGACGACGACGACAACCGCGACGACGGCGTCAACGGTGGCTGGCAGTCGGTCGTCATTCGTCACCGTCGTCATCAAGTCGTGGACGTGGGTCGTGGACACCGTCGTCGTCCGTCGTCACATTCCGCACCCGTCGCGGTCGTCGCCGTTGTCGAAGTTTTGTTTCGTCACTGTCGTCGTCACATGGAGCTAATGTTTGAGCGACGGTTTCCATGACGCGCGACATGATGTTTGCATTCACGGAGTTGCTGATCTCCGCTTGCTGTGCATCCACCAGGGAGTCTCAGGTGGCGAACCTTTCCTTCCACCCTTCTCACTCTTCTAAGGTGACCTCCCACTGCCGCCGCCACGCTTCGGGGCGATGGTTAAGTAAAGGTCTGATCGAGAGAACGGTGGGTGCAATCTGCCAGAGCAGAACAACCTAAAGCCAAATACGCGTGCTTATGAAATGGGGGGAAGCCAGGACGACGCCATCCTCATGAGCAGCCTTGGCGGCTAACGCGATGCACCGGGAAGCCCGAGCCTGTGCGTAGCGAAAGGGTAAATCACCCTATCGCTACGCACAGTCGGGGACGTCCCCGACTGTGCGAAGGGGGCTTCTTTTCATTTAGGAGCCTGTGCGTAGCGATATGGTAAATCACTCTGTCGCTACGCACAGGCTCCTAAATGAAAAGAGGTCCCCTTCGCACACTCGGGGGCGTCCCCGACTGTGCGTAGCGATAGGGTGATTTACCCTATCGCCACGCACAGGCTCGCCATTTTTTGGGGAAGTGCATTGTTCCAGCGCCGCCCCTCTAGTCAGCTCAGGGACGTCCCCGACTGGAGAGCGATCGACCGAGAGTTCACATGCCACGCTCTTAGGTTGAAGTGGAAGCTGGGGCTGGCACGGTGAATCGATGATGTTTGCATGAGGTTCTGGGAGGAAGCAAAGGAGGCGCTGGCGTTCGGATGTCAGTCGACGTCGACGCGCAGTTCGAGCGCCGCCCAGATCTTGATAGTTCGGAGTTTGTCCACGAGGATGCTAGACAGAGCGACAACCCTTGAATACGAAAGAATGCGACGCTGACTCTTGAGCTCCGTGCTACGATGACGATGACGAGGACTACTTCGACGACAACTGCGACGATCGCGACGAGCGCGACGGGTGCGGAGTGCCACGACGGACGACGATGGCGCCCACGACTCTCGACCACGACGTCGCGACGACGGTGACTGGTGACAATCGCCCGCCCGCCGCCGTTGACGCCGTCGTCGCCGCCGCCATCGTCGTCGTCGTCGCGTTCGTTTTCTTTGTCATGACAATCGCCGCCGTCGTCGACGCCACCGCTGCGGCCGCCATCGCCGTCGCCGCCGTCGCCGCCGGCGTTGCCGGCGCCGTCGTCGCCATCGTCGTCGACGACGGGGCCGCGCAACCGATCCCAACCAAAAAATTCCCAAGGGGTGCGGTCCAATGAAGTTTTCCCAGTTGCGTCAATCCGCAGCGACGAGAACGCTTCCTGAAAGCCCTCGAACAATTCTCCAAATAACCGCGGGCTCATCCAACCATCCGTGCCTTCGTCCTTCTCCTCCTCCTCTCCTCTGGGAACGTCCGAATCCCAGAGCAAATAATCTGGTATGTTCGGACTTGAACCACCCATTGTACGTCTGAAGCTACCTCGCTTTGATTTGGGCGCCCGCCGCGAGCCTTCCTCCCCCTCCGTCCCTTCCTCACCTCCTCTCCTCATCCTCCGCCTCCTCATCACCATCCCTCCTCTCCTCGGTATCCGCCTCCGCTTCATCCTCCCCCTCGTTCCTCCCCTTCCTCCTCCTCCTCCACCTCCGCTCCCCCCCATCCCCCCGCGTTTTTGTTCCCTCTTTCCCCCGCGTCCTTGCTCCCTTCATCATGTAATCGCTTCGCTCAGTCCGCCGGCCCATAATGTCGCACCGTGGTCGCCTGTCCGAGTGGTCGTTTGCAGTGTGGAGCTGCGGCGTCGGGAGCTGTGTAGTGTTGGGGGCGTTCTTGGGGCCCTCTTGGGTCGTCCTGGAGGCCTCTGGGGCCGTCTTGGAGCCGTCTTGGGCCGTCTTGGGGCCCTCTTGGGGGCCTCTTGGGCCCTCTTGGGGCGATCTTGGAGGCTTCTTGAGCCGTTTAGGGGCGTCGGAAACGCCCAAATTTGTCCAACACCAAAGGAAAAACACAGGTTTTTGCCTCTTGGGGCCCTCTTGGGAGTTCTCTTGGAGGCCTCTCGGGGCATCTTGGAGGCTTTTTGGCCCATCTTGGAGACGTCTTGGGCCGTCCGGAGGCCATTTTGGGGCGTCGTGGAGCGATCTTCGGGCGTCTAGGACCTCTCTTGGACCGTGTTGGGGGCGTTTTTCTTGGGGGCCTCTTGGGCCGTCTTGGGGCGACCTTGGAGGCCTCTTGAGCCATTTAGGGGCGTCGGGGAACCGACAAGGTTAAAACGCCCAAATCTGTCCAACACCAAGGGAAAAAACACAGGTTTTTGCCTCTTGGGGCCCTCTTGGGAGTTCTCTTGGAGGCCTCTTGGGGCATCTTGGAGGTTTCTTGGCCCATCTTGGAGACGTCTTGGGCCGTCCGGAGGCCATCTTGAGCGTCGTGGAGCGATTTTCGGGCGTCTCGGACCTTTCTTGGACCGTGTTGGGGGCGTTCTCGGGGCCCTCTTGGGCCGTCTTGGAGGCCTCTGGGGCCGTCTTGGGCCGCCTTGGGGCCCTTTTGAGGGCCTTTTGGGCCCTCTTGGGGCGATCTTGGAGGCCTCTTGAGCCGTTTAGGGGCGTCGGGGAACCGAAAATGTTGAAACGCCCAAATCTGTCCAAAACCTAAGAAAAAACACTGATGTTTGCCTCTTGGGGCCCTCTTGGGAGTGCTCCTGGAGGTCTCTTGGGGCATCTTGGAGGCTTGTTGGGTCATCTTGGAGACATTTTGGGCCGTCTGGGGGCCATCTTGGGCGCCGTGGAGCGATCTTCGGGCGTCTCGGACCTCTCTTGGATTGTGTTGGGGGCCTCTTGGGGCCCTCTTGGGGCGATCCTGGAGGATCTGGGGGAGTGTCCCGGGCTCCGCCCGGGGTACTCTTGATCCAGGGGCCCCAGGGGCCGCCCCGCGCGCGCGAACTAGAATTACTGTTTACCAGTTACCGGAGATCTTAGCACGCCTCTGGCCCGTTGGGCCGGCGAATTATCCTCCCCTCCCTCCTCCCCAATTCATCCTTCTCCTCTTCCTCTTCCTCCCCTCCTCCTCCCCTCCTCTTCTTCCTCCGTTTCACCCCCTACCGGCCCCTCCTCCACCTTCCCCCACCCCTCCTCTCATCCTCCTCCCTCTCCAAGTTCCCCCGTCCAATCCCCCTCAGACAGAGTACGGTAGTTTGTCTTATTGCACTTGGATGTTTGCGTGCGCGTGCGCACGCACTGTGAACGCGATGCGCCCCGAGACTCCCAAATACCCATCAAAGCGGACATCAAAGCATGTACATCCAAATCCTTCACGTAGCACGCGCATGCTATGTTCACACATGCGCTCATGGCGATGGTTGATACATACTTGTGCCAAATTGTATGGCTTCTGACGCACGTGGATGATTGCCCGGAAGATCATCAGATAATATCTTCACGCTGGACCCGCGGCGCGGCGCTCTACGACGGGGATCTCCACGCTGGGGGTCTCCCATGGCACCCAGATCGCCTAAGACGGCCTAAGATTGCCTCCGCGACGACCCCAAAGGCTCCCAGGCCAAGGCCCCCAGCACGGCCCGAGAGGCCCCCAGCATATCTAAATTGGAGATCTCTACGCTGGGGGCCTCGGCTTTGACATCTACAGCGGGGATTTTCACGCTTGGGGCCTCAGCGCGAAGATCTTCAGTTGAGATTTTCACGCTCGGGATACTTTCGGACTTCCAGGTCGCCAGAGTCATCCAATATGGCCTCCAAGACAACCCCAAAGGCTTCCAGGATTGCCAGAGGCTCCTCGCGCGAAAATATTGAGTGAAGGCCTTCGCGCTTGAGGCCTCAGCGCGAAGATCTTCGGTCCAAATCTTCACGCTGGGCACTTTTTGGGGCCTCCAGATCGCCAAGAAACCAAATGTGGCTTCCATGACCAATTCAAGAGGCCCCAGTCCCAAAGGCACCCGACCAAGCCCAAGTGAATTCCCGCGCAAAGATCTTCAGTAATTCGAAAATCTTACAGCTGGAGGCCTTGGCACGGCGATCTACAGCGGAGACCTCCACGCTGGGGATGTTCCAGAGCCCCCTCAACCGCCCAAGCCGGCCCAAATTTTCCTCCAAGAGACCGCCCACAAGGTTCATTCCCAAAGGCCCCCCGACACGACACCAGAGGGCCCCAGCAGAAATATCTACATTAAGAATATTGATGCGGGGGGGCTGCTCTTGGAATTTAAGAGGCGATCATTACCCTCTGGGCCTCAGCGCGAAGATCTGAAGTGATCTTCCTCCCCACTGTTTTTTCGGGCCGCCAGATTTCCAAAGAAACCCAATACGGCCTCCAAGACAATGCAGAGAGCTCACGGGATTGGCCAACGCGCCCCCGACTAAGCCCAACACGCTCCCCGCGCGAAGATCTTCACGTTTTCACGCTTGGGGCCTTAGCGCGAAGCTCTTCAGCGAAGATCTTCCCAATTGGAACACAATCCTTTTCCTCTCCCTCCTCATTTCCACCACCTCCTCCTCCTCCTCTTCCCTTTCTCGTTATTCTGCTCCTTCTCCTCCTCATCCTCTCTACCGTTTCCTCCTCCTCATTATCCTCCCCTTGTCCTCGCGCGAGGGGGGGCGATGCCTCATTGGGCCGAATCTGCACAGCGTAGCATAGTTGGAGGGCGAAGCAGCGAAGCCATCAAACAGTCATGAAGATATTGGAGTCAGGTCCCTATGTGGTTGCGGAGGCCGATGCAAATTTCCAACGACGGTCCACCGTGGTGCATTGTTAAGATATTATGCTAGTGGCCAGCAATGCGTTGCATGGCATGAAGTGGTATACGATCCGATACTATGACTATGACGTGCTATGCATTGTTATGCTATGCTATGAGGTGAAGCGCTATGCGGTACTATGATGTTCCATGCTATGGTATGCTATGCGTGCGCGATGATAAACAATTTTGCTGCTTTGTATAGCATACGCATGCATGGTAACGCTTGGCCATGCAGAACAAACTGCGTAACACTACCCCACCGAAGACGTATCGCGACTCTCCGCCCCGCCGCCCCGTTTATGGGCAGCGCAGACAGACGCAGCACAGGGCTTCCACTTCTGGTTCATGAGCCGCGAGGAGTTCCTGGCACTGCCTGAGGACAGGCCAATGCCCCGCCACCAGACCCTGAGGGATCAGGGCAAGTTGGTGCGCATCTTCATGACCGACGCAGACGTCCTGTCTGGAGCGGCGAGGACAAAGGCTGCAGTCAGCCATCGCTGGATCAGGCATTGGCACATTGACCCGGACTGCACCAAGCTGAAGAAACTGAAAACGATTCTGCGCGAGAGCCCGGACATCACCCACGTCTGGATCGACTGGGCGTGCATTCCGCAGAAATGGAAGGACGACGCCACGGAAGGGCGCAAAACATTCGTGGAGCAGGAGGAATTTAACAGGACTTTGGCGAACGTCCTCCCATATCCGTAATGGCTTCGCCCCCTGCCGCCGGCCCCCTCTCTCGGAGAATGGGCCATGGAAGAGCTAAGTCATGAGGCTTTGGCGCTGTCGTGCAGCAGTATCGGAACTTCATGCGAGGCCGATTCGCAATCGGCAAAACCAACTGATCACAAGAGGGGTTACCACACAGGGCGATTGGTAAGACGTGTATGGTTTACGAGCTTGGTTACCACACCTTGGGATTAAAGGGCCGAGGGAGTACTCGCAGTTTGGGTCACCACGCCTTGCGATGGATGTGCGTGAGGGGTGGCACCGAATTTCAGAAATGTGGCAGATCCCCTGTGTTTTTGGACCCTGACCCCGCGGATCTGCGTGAAGGGTGGCACCGAATTTCAGAAATGTGCAAATCCCCTGTGTTTTTGGACCCTGACCCCGCGGATCTGCGTGAGGGGTGGCGCCGAATTTCAGAATGTGGCAAATCCCCTATGTTTTGGGACCCTGACCCCGCGGATCTGCGTGAGGGGTGGCACCGAATTTCAGAAATGTGGCAAATCCCATGTGTTTTTGGACCCTGACCCCGCGGATCTGCGTGAGGGGTGGCACCGAATTTCAGAAATGTGGCAAATCCCATGTGTTTTTGGACCCTGACCCCGCGGATCTGCGTGAGGGGTGGCACCGACTTTCAGAAATGTGGCAAATCCCATGTGTTTTTGGACCCTGACCCCGCGGATCTGCGTGAGGGGTGTCGATTTCGAGCCCCCCCAGCAATTCAGACAACGCGCCCAGGAGACGCTAAAAGTCTTGTTTGGGCCTCCCCCCCCTCGCGCGGTCAATCAACTAGTTACAGTAACCAGCAAGAAATCAACTAGTTACAGTAACCAGCAAGAAGCAGAACTGTAACACTGGAAATTCTTTACGCTTCGCGCATCCCCACCAGCCCATCTCACAACAGCAACTCTTGCGAAGCGTGCCGACAGTTGTGTTTTTCAGGCGTGTGTCCGCTTGGCGCCGCATACCCCCCCTGTTCCTCCTTCTTCCCGCCTCCGACGACGACGTCGACGACGACGACGGCGACGACGAAGGCGGCGGTGCGGGCCCTCGTTGTGTGAGTCCTTCGGCCCCGTCGTCTTTGTGTGAGTCTTTCGGGACCCTATTCCTGGTGTGAGTCGTTCGGTATCCTCGTTGTGTGAGTCGTTCGGGCCCTTCCTCCTGGTGTGAGTCGTTCGGGTTGGTCGTGTTGTGAGTCGTTCGGGCTCCTCGTGGTGTGAGTCGTTCGGGCGTCTCGTCCTGGTGTGAGTCGTCGGGGCCCCTCGTCCTGGTGTGAGTCGTTCGGGTTCCTCGTGGTGTGAGTCGTTCGGGCCTTTCGTCCTGGTGCGAGTCGGTCGTGCTTCTCGTGGTGTGCGGCGTTTGGGCACCTCGTCCGCGTGCGAGTCGTTTGGGCCCTTCGTCGTAGGAGTCGTAGTAGTAGTAGTAGTAGTAGTAGTAGTAGTAGTAGTAGTAGTAGTAGTAGTAGTAGTAGTAGTAGTAGTAGGTAGTAGTAGTAGTAGTAGTAGTAGTAGTAGTAGTAGTAGTAGTAGTAGTAGTAGTAGTAGTAGTAGTAGTAGTAGTAGTAGTAGTAGTAGCAGTAGTAGTAGTAGTAGCAGTAGTAGTAGTAGTAGTCGTCATAGTAGTAGTCGTAGTAGTAGTTATAGTAGTAGTAGTAGTAGTAGTAGTAGTAGTAGTAGTAGTAGTAGTAGTAGTAGTAGTA